CCAGTAGTGACTATTCACAAAGGAAACTGTACTTCCATTCACAAATCTTAAATTTCTCACCTGGTAATGAAGCTTAGCCTTTCTTGGGACCACCTATAGCCTACTCATTGGGAGTTCAATTAAAATTTACTCTTTGGAAAAGACAATTAAACTTTCCAATTGGCCTGTCCTTTTGCAAACACTTATGAAGGTTGTTTTTTAGGTAAGGGAGACTTATCTATGTCTCCCTCCATAGGAAACTATTATTCATAATGAAGATATTGCTGCCCACTTGATGGGCCTTTATGTCTACGAGACCTTAGTGTCCTTGAGGGCAGGGAGTGGGTTTGCTCTCCCCTGTGTACTTCGATGTAGGCATCTAGTAGGAGATCTACAGAGGCCTTCTGAAAGAATGAATGCTAGGTATTGTTTTAAATGTTAACTCAGCATGATTCTAGGTCTATTAATTCTGTGTAATGTCTTGTGAAGATTGTGCTTCAGTAGACAGACTTGTGCAACAAGTTTGCTGTGAGTAGAAGTTCCGTGTCTGACACTAGAGAGGAGCTAGAAAATGCTCCTGGCTGGCCTGCGCATCTGGGGGTGGGTGAGAAGCTGCCCTGAAGCTGAGCTTTGCCTGTGAGAAGCCCGCTCAGCCCTCCCGTGGACTTTCTTGCCCTCCCAACTGACTCCTGGAGCCGACTTTGCAAAAATGGCACCTGTTGACTAGGTGCGCAGCTACACTGCCTGCATCTGGGTCAGGAGGAAAAGGACGTCAGCAAACACTTCCTCCTCCTCCTCCTCCCCTCCAAGGGAGGTCAGAGGTAATTGGCTGTACCACAACACTCAGCATTTCCTGTTTCAGAATTATGGGTGAAGCAAGGACCTTCCCTGGACTATCTGTAATAGTCCTCCCCTTTTTCTGGTGGTTGAGTAACGAAACCTACCCAAGCATAGAGAACTGACTTTAGATAGCATGCTGTCTTGTTAGTTTATCCCCCAAATCAGAAGGGCTGCAGGCTTCCTGGATTCAACATGCTCTGAGGCTGAAGTCATGGAAGTTTCTGCTTTGATAACTCAAATTCAATCATGAGAGGAACCAACTCTCCCTCTACCAACATGTTTCAAGACTAAGTTAGGGAGGTGACATAACACACCAGCATTCATTTCCACTCCCTCCCCTACTCCTTTGTTCCTAATAGAACCCAGTTTTTTAGGTGCTCACTCTGCACAGTGATGTCTTTAGGGTTCCAGCTTCCTGGGAGTAGGTCCAGCAATTGGTTTGGTCCAGGAATAAACATAAAAAGAAGTCAGCGAGGTGGCTTCCGGGGAAGACTGCCTCACTGCTAAGAGAGAGACACAGGAGGAGATCATCTTTTCATGGTCTGGAATTATCATATCTATATGTGATGACCAGAAGTGTAACAGTCACTGACTTCAGCAGCAACTGAATAAACTGATTAAACCAACTTAGTGCGCCCCTCTTGTTTTATATGTGGCTATAACTTTTTAAAAAATATATTTTTATTGATTTCCGAGAAGAAGGGAGCGGGAGAGAGAGACAGAAACACCAATGATGAGAGAGAACCACTGACCGGCTGCCTCCTGCATGCCCCCTACTGGGAACCAATCCTGCAACCTGGGCATGTACCCTTGACTGGAATTGAACACAGGACCCCTCAGTCCACAGGCTGGCACTCTATCCACTGAGACAAACTGACTAGGGCTCAATTTCATTTTTAATTAGGCTTCTGTGAGTTGGACTTTATGTTACTTGCAGGCAAAAGGATCCTATACTATAGGCAGGGGTTGGATCACAAGCAAAATATGAAGAAAGCACACTTTTGCCAGCTTTTAATCACACAGTATATAAGTACCTAGCAGGAAGATGAACTCCATTTGTGTGCCCACCTCCAACAATATAAAACTTAGGACACACTCATAATGTGCGTTTGTCTCTGCCCTCTCTCGCTTCATTCAATGGGCACATATATTTTTCTCCAGAAAGAGAAAATATTACAGCAGCTGAAGTGCCATCAGTAGATAAGTGGATGAAAAAGCTATGGAACATTTATACAATGGAATACTACTCAGCCACGAAAAGGAAGGAAACCTTACTTTTTCCGACAGCATGGATAGACCTGCAGATATTATGCTGAGTGAAATAAGCCAGTCAGAGAAAGACAAGTACCATATGATTTCACTTATATGTGGAATCTAATGAACAAAATAAAATGATGAACAAACTAGAAACAGATTCACAGATTCGGAGAACAGATTAACAGCTGTCAGAGGGGAGGGGGACAGGGAAGTTGTTTGAAATAGGGGGAGGGATTAAACAAAAATAACAACAAAACAACAACTCATAGACAGACTATAGTATGGTGATTACCAGAGGGCCAGGAGGGGTAGGGGGAGGAAGGAGAGGGTAAAGGAGAGATAAATGGTGATGGAAGGAAACTTGACTTGGGGTGGTGAACACACAATGCAATATACATATGATGTATTACAGATTTATACCCCTGAAAAATATATAATTTTATTAACCAATGTCACCCTAATAAATTCAATGGAAAATTAATAAATTTAAAAAATATTAAAAGTGGCAGATTTCTTATGAATTTCTGGTTTACTTTTACAATTTATAAGACTGCAGTGGTTGGAATAAGTTTTCAAGTCCTAGTGGTTTTTCTCTTGCTTCTCCTCTTGGCTTATTTGTGAGCAGAAGGACAGGTGAGCACTGCGGTTTAGGGCCAGTGGAACAATTACTAAAGTAAAAATAGATTTTCCTCTTTTTAAAAAAATATATTTTTATTGATTTTAGAGAGGAAGAGAGAGGGAGAGAGAGATAGAAACATCAATGATGAGAGAGAATCATTGATTGGCTGCCTCCTACATGCCCCCCACTGGGGATCGAGCCCAAAATCTGGGCATATTCCCTGACCGGGAATTGAACTATGACCTCCTGGTTCATAGGTCAATGTTCAATCACTGAGCCACATCGGCCAAGCCTAAAGAAGTTATTTTTTATTTCAGTTCCCTTTGATACTGACTGATATATCTTCATACAAATATTACTTTTATGGTAATTGGAGGAAGACAAAAAAGAAATTGTTGCCACTAATATAGCTTTACATTTTCTATAATACAGAGAATGTTTTCCAAAATGAAGATGTACACGATTGAGTTCTCCAAATTATGCCCAAACATACCTCTCTAGCTGACATTACCCTATTGATTTATGTATGTCTCCCTGCCCCTGTAAAGTGTTAGTACTCTATCCTAGTTATCTTTTTATCATTGGCATATTGTAGAAATTCCACAAAAGCTTCTATTTCTTCTGTAAAATATTAAAACCTTGATTTTTAGTTCTTTTTCCACTTCATTAGCGTTCTTTATTCCAAGTCCATATCTTGCACCAGTATCTTTATCCCTAGCCTTAATTACACACTTAAGAAATATGTCAACCCTGTATCAGTTCTCAATTACAGAGAACATCCAACTCAAAATGACTTAATGAATAGGACATTTATTATGTAACATGACGAGAACTTCAGAGCTAGGGCAGGTCTGGGATTGGTTCATTCAGATGCTCAACAATATAGTTGAAGACTCAAGTTGCTCTCATATTTCTGCCCTGCTTTCTCCTCTACCTGTTCTCCTTTACATAATACCCATGGTCCCAAGATGGCTCACATTCATCACTTGCTGGTGTGACCCTGGCCTGCAGGGAAGAATATTTTTTTCTGTGTCCTTTTTAGAGAAAGACCTTCCACTGGTTCCTTCCGTAGATTTCCTCCCATCTCATTAGCCAAAATTGCCCAGATAAGTAGGACAGAGTACAAACACTTTAGAGAGTCAGGGAGACCTAAATCAATGTGACAATATCAGCAAGAGAGATATGTTCTGGCATATGTCTAAATCAATTGCTGGTGAGGGGAAGGGGACACCAGGATTAGACTGATCACAGTTGACTATGGGACAAAAGCAGCTTCCTCTGAGGCACTTGGAGGGTGGATAGCTAAACAAAATCAGGGTTATCAGCAAAGAAAATGTGGGGGTGTGGAGACAAGCTGGGGGTTTGGGGAAAGGAAATGGGTTTGGGGTAAGTAACCACCAGAGAGTGCTAGAACACTCTTGCTGCCTTGATTGGTTTTCATTATTTTTTAAGTGTAATAAAAATTATAATTCTGGGAACAGTTCCCTTTTCTTGGCATAGCCTAGATCCCTCCCTAGTTCTCACTTTATTTTCAGTGTTCAGGAAACTTACAAATTTTTTTTCTTAAGATCAATGACAGAACAACCAAGAAATCATAAAATGAAATTGGGTTGCTTTCATGTCAAACTCTGTCTATCTATCTTACTATTTACCTACTTATCTCTAATTTGTTTTTGCATTGGATTTAAAAAAGAATTCTGTTTTAAAAAATCAAATTTAAAAAAAAGAATTCTATTAGCCACATGGAGAAGTCATCAAAGTTTGTTTATAAATGTGTTGTGAGAGAACCAAATTATCTACAATCCTATGTAGGTTTTGAAGACTGATTCCTTATTTCGACTGATTGGAAATTCAGTTGACCCTTGAACAATGTAGGGATTAGGGGCACTGGCCTCCGTGCAGTTGAAAATTCACATATAACTTTTGACTCCCCGAAAACTTAACTACAGTTGGCCCTCAGTATCCCTGGGGCATTGGTTCCAGGACCCCCCTTGGATATCAGAATCCATAGATACTTAAGTTCCTTATATAAAGTGACATAGAATAGTGCATACAGTTGGCTCTCTGCATCCACAGACTCCCAGATGCTGATTGAAATTACTGTTTTTGACTGGTGGTTGGTTGAATCCACGGATGCAAAACCCATGGGTATGGAGGGCCAACCATATTGAAAAAATCTGCATATAAGTTTAGAGTGTGTTGTTCAAGGGTCAGCTGTATACACGAAGAAATATGTCTTTGGGTTCCTTGAGTTTCCAGCATTCTTGATGGGTTGTTGACATAACTGTGTCTCCACTCTTTACAGAGCTTTGGACGTAGTGGATGAAGGACAGGTGGCTCAAGAACACCATGAGTTTACATCACACGGTGGGGAATCCCAGTTCTTTCACTCCACCAGTGAGGTGCCTGGTCCTCTACCTGCAGAGTCCGGATCGCTTAAAAAGGTAAGGCTTCATTTTCAACATTTGGCTGCTGGGAATAAACACTTCAATGAAGTAAACACTGAAGTAAAACCTCTGTCTTATTGAAAAACACATACTTAAAAAGAGTGGTAAAAATATATCATATCAAAGCACCATGATAATAAATAAGGCATCTGAAGGGATGAGTTTGAATCTTTGCTCTTTGCTGCCTTCAGGTGTTCTTCCTCATTGTCATGGTCACCTTTGCCTGCCTTTTTCCTTTTATATAGGCTGTGCTTTAATTAGAAGCTATACAAAGTAGGATGACATCAATCATTGGAATTAGTGGCTCTTTCCCATGTAAAGCATTTTTACTACTTCCTATTGTAAGGCATTTAGAGTTGTGGTTATATCAGTGTTATTTCTTCCTTTTGTTGTTGTTAATCCTCACCCAAAGGTATTTTTCTGATTGATTTTTTTAGAGAGTGGAAGTGGCAGGGAGGGAGGCTGAGAGAAAGAGAGAGAGAGAGAGAAACATTGATGTGAGAGAGACACCGAGACACCTTGATTGGTTGTTCCTGCACATGTCCCAACTGGGGCTGGGAATCAGACCTGCAACCCAGGTATGTACCCTTGACTGGGAATCAAACCCATGACCCTTTAGTGCAAGAACTGACACTCTAAACCACAGAACTATACTGTCCAGGACAGTATTTTACTTCTTAATATCTAGATGTTTGCATAGCAAGTTCTGACTTAATTATATTGCTTTAAAAGAAGCGTTCTCCCCAAGCTGATGAAAAACAGTAAGAAAAATGGACATGATGAGATTATTAGCTCATATTTTATATTAGAACATGCCAAATTGTGTAGGGAAAATTCAACAGAGAATGCTTCCTAACTCAAAATAGTGTAATATCAATCAGAGAACCAGAAATATAAAATTAAATTTTATAAAATGTTAAAAATAAAAAATTAAATTAAAAAAATTAAATAACCTGGCGTACTGTAATTTATACTTACTGTCAAATTGGTTTTGCATTTTGTATTTCTTTCTATTTAAGAAATAGTTTGTAACTAGAAAAACACCTGATAAATGTAGTTATTGGCCCCAGGTAGAGTTTCAAGTTGTTTCCCACATTTTCCTTTAATAACTTAAAATAAAAATAATTCTGTGAGTAACATGCCATTAACTATCCTATAATATTTACTGAAGTCCAGGTAATAACTGATGGCAGCATTTAGAGTTGGGGCCAAACTAAATTCCCTGAGAGGGATGGCAATGAGGGGTCTGCGGTGGCCTTTCCCTTAGTTTGTAGCCTATGGCTGTATTTTTTTTCACAGTACTGATATCCCATCTAGACATAGTCTCTTAACCCTGGCTCACTCTCCCAGGATGCAGTCAAGGAGCCCTGGAGAGGCCCAAGGCTAAGCCAGAGTCAGTACTATGAGGACTGGCGGGGAGAAGGAGGCCAGTTGGTACCGGTGGGAAAGGCATAGGATTGGAGCCAGAAGCAGGTGAACTGGGAACCCAGTGTAGGTGGAGCCAGAGCAGGTAGAAGTAGGGCAGGAACTTGAAGAAGGGAGCAAAAAGAGGCAGAATGTCATTCTAGCTACAGTGTCTCCAAGTGTCACCTGAAATGGGGTCAGCCAGGCACACCTATACCTCGCTTTCCCCTTCAGAGATGGTCAAATACCACAACAGGAAGAGCTGGCTCCAGGGTCCACTTCTGGCTCTGCCTGTTGTCTCCTTTTCCCTCTCTCTCTGCCCTTTCTCCCCCTCCCTCATCCCTCCTTCACACTGGGCTCTCTGGCCTCCAACTCTCTTGATCATTCTCATTTGCATATTCTACTAGGACTGAGAGAAAGCAAGAGGCTGGAGAACAGACCCCCTCGTCCCTATTGACGTGTGCTCATCTTTATGTCTGTTGAGATCATGGCTGAGAGGTCTACCTGGACCATTCTCAGAAGTGCAAGACTCCCCTACACCACCAGCCCGGCCAGTATTTTTGGGAAACAAATCTTAACTCCTCTTAGATTCTGGGTAGTTCATACCCACTGTGAGTGCTAGGGTAGCTCCCATACCTTCAAAAGCACCCTTCTCTTAGTCCACTCTCCTCATGAGCCTGTCCTTTCCTGTGAGATTCAGAAGATTTACTAGGCAGTTATATCAGGAACACCCTTCGATGCTTTCCCATTTAGAAGGTCATAAATTCTTCTTAAGATTCCTAGATTCTTAAGTCGATCTAGCCTCGAAGTTATATCTATTTATTCAAATGAATGTTTAAATTTGTATTTGCATTAAAGTTAAGCAATTTGCCTTTCCTCAGACAACCAGAATTTATTCACTCTCTACATTTGTTCTATACATTTTATGTTGTTATATTTGTTTAACATGTTGTTAAAATTCCTTTGCCATTCCTTAAAGCTGACAAATTATCCAAAACATCTCAGAGCTGTTTTTACCACAACCACCTTTGCCAGTTTTTTCATTGCCCAGTTAATCTTGTAATTGTCAAGGTGGAGCATTTTCCAAATTCCTGCCTGGATATTCTAGTTTAGTCAATAAGAATAACAATTCAATTTGACAAGCATTTGTTGAAGTAGCAAAGAGAAAAAACATAAACAAAACATTTTTTTAACACTTTCATTTTCCATGTTTCCTAGGTGGTTGGCCACCTGGAGAGGTGATGTGCCTCTACTTCCCTTCCCACTTCTATCATTTCTCCCTTTTTTCTCTCTCTATAGCTTCTGCTCCACACAGGTCCACTGACTATCCAATTCCCAGCCTTACACCAGACCAAGTTCAAAACATGAACTACTTAAGAGGCCTCAGACTCATTCACCACCACCCCAACTCCTGCCTCATCTCAAGGGGCATAGTGTTGGGCTGGCCTAGGACACAGAACATGAACATTGGTCGCTGAGCTTGCCAATTGTCTCAGGTCACCAGGCTGCTGATCTCACCAAGGACAGTTCTAAAAGCATCAGGCAAGAAGTAGGACCTTCCAAATCCTGAAGTGTAACCCCCAACCCTAGCCCAGACACTGAGGCATCATTTTCTAACTGAGGTTGGACCTTCCCAATAGTGACTTCCCTAAAGGACTTACTAGTATTATCCATCCATTTCAACTCTACATTGCACCTTCCTAGTGGTACCTTATCTTAAATTGTTGGTGCCATGTGATATTGTGCTTAGAGACTGCTGAGCCCTTGGATGTATCTTTTTGCAAATCTCTGCTTTGATCATTAGTCAGATCTCACCATTATTTCCCACACACTCCCCATAGCCCCCTCCTGCCCAGGACCTGTCCTATTCACACAGGTAGGTTTACCATCAAGCTTCAATTACTGAGCCTTTTCCAGACCATCTGCATGGCAGGACTCTCTCTATGCTCTATCAGTGCTGATCTAAAAGACTAAACTCTTAGGGAGGGGGAAAATGTATAGCATGTTATGTTTTGTGTAAAAGTAGAGTATTAGAATATATATGCATCTTTGTAAATGCATTAAGAAACTATAAAAAAATACAGGGAAAACTAACAATAATTACTTGGTGAAGCAGGACATGAGCAGATAGAGAACACAGAGGGAGAGAGACTTTTTACTATGCACTTTTTCTACTTTTTTATATTTTGAATTTTGAGCCATGTGAAGATATTACCTAGTCAACATTTTTCTGAAGATGGAGGAATGCATAGATATGATTTAAGGTCTGTTGTGATTAAAGTTAAATTGAAATGGGTTAGGTATGCTCGTGTAATTTTTTTATGATTCTCTGATTTGTTGTAAACTATGTCAGTCCTGATTGCATTGCCTGAGGGGCTTCTATTGTTCCCAAGTTTTCTTAACATATCCATCTACTGCCATCGCTTATTCTCTTTCCCATGCCCAAAGCATCTTTCCACTTTTTGTCTACCTGCAAATTTCTACTCATTCTTTGCTCAAACTGCTCTTTCTTTGTGAACTCAGAAAGTTCTTCATGTTCCTTTTTGTGCTGCTACTTGCCTTGGATGTCCCTTGAGCTCAACACTTCCCATATTGATTTCCAAATCTCCTTCCTCAATAGACTAGAAGGTCCTAAGAGTCAAACAGCATTTCTATGACTGGAACATTAACAAATTTTGCATGAATGAAATGCTGTATATTTTCAGTAAAAACAAAAAATAGTAGGAAGCAATGCTGTTACTAATGTGCAGCATTTCAGCTATCATGTGAGTTTAATGTTTATTTAGGCTTTCAAAAGTAGATCAGGAAAGCTCGCCAAATACATATATACAGGGGTTGCAAAAGTAGGTTTACAGTTGTAATACAAAGGATACAATAACTAATAAATAATAATACAAGAATAAGTTCTGAGCTTTGCGTACTCAACGACTATAAGCCATGTGTGGGCAGCAGAAAGAGCATGGGGCAGTTTTCCAGAGTATGACTCCACCCTTCTCCTCCAGCGCCTGTGCTGTGGAGTTGCATGGCGGCCAGAGGACAGTTCTTTGTCTCCAAGAAAGCCTAGTATTATTGGATTCAGCAAGAGGTGTCATTCCTACATATGAGATTTCACAAGTTGGGCATTCTATAGGCTGGAGAATATTGCTTTAATATCTGAAGTATGGCATTATAAGCAACAGGATATGGTATACCAGTTGTTTTTCTCATAAACGTAGGTCTGGCCTTGTAAGAGAAAGATTGATTGCCTCTGTATAGCCAGCTTTGGAAAAATTCATGTTCTCTGTGTTAACGTAAAAACCATTGAAACCTGTAAGGAATTTTTGTGAGTTTTTTGAGCCAACCTGTCGACATATGCCGAGAAGCAGAACCTCAACGAATTGAGATAATGCTCCGGAGAATGGCGGGGTTACATTTGTATTTATACATTTGCAATCAAAGGAAGGATGTAGGTGGGTTACATGAAATTCATTGGTGATAGATTAAGGAGGAGGGATAAAGCAAAGCAGGGGAAACCCCTGGGATTGGATAAAAAGTAAAATGATGGACACATACTTAGGTGGGTGCAGGATCGATTAACATGATAATGAAGGAAT